TTGTATCCAGAAAATGCTTGTTTCTTCACTTTACATGACATGAAGACGAAATTTGTTGGACACATTGACAATGCTCTCCTGAACAATACAATGTGCTACTTTTATGCTGAAACTCCGTTACCATGGCAACAGCGTGCTTAGAATAAAGCTCAAAATTTGTCTTTTTCCGGCCATTTTAAAAATTCCCTTCGGTAATTTTTTTAAAACTTTGCATAAAAGATCATTCTCGTATGATTTTTTTTAAATTTTAAAAACGTTTCTTAGAGAGAATAACAATATAATATTTTTACTACTTAACCCTCGAGTTGTTTTGTTTTTCATTTACCCATTTGCTTTAACCCACTCAAAATTTTGTTTACCCATCCCTTTTCCCTTCGGTGCCACCCCCCGCCACAAATAACGACCCTAACTGGAAAAACATATGATTTGATATACCCGTATGATATTTTCACAGCAAAACTAAGATGGTACATTTTGTTTCAGGACTGCATGGTTGCCAGTATAGATTGCACGATTCTAACTAGTTCATGTGGATAGTCCGTCCGTCTTATGTTTAATTAAACTAAGATGGACGATCCACCAGTGATAAGTCTTGACGGATGATTCATTTCTTGTCTATTTATTTATTTATTTAGCCTCGCCTTGACAAAAATGTACACAAAACAAGTACAACAATTCATATACATGAGACATAACAAGAGGCGGGGACACCACAACAGTTTACACCAATTACTGTGGGCCCTTTAGTTAAAATTAGTGACAAATTACATGCAGACGGGAAAAAAATCAACTAATTAGTCTAGTAGCAACAGGGATCGGCATCGATTAGATTGCGCGATGTGTTGCACTTCAGGCAAACAGTTTTCCAGGTTCGAGCATCATCCACGTCGTAACAAGATACATGGGCATTATGGTAGTATTCTAATAGTGACTAATATGGTAGTATTCTAATAGTAACGTTAGAGATAAATGATCTAGTCTTAAGTGTTCGGGTAAGGAGTTCCAGGTTCTAGTTGCTCTAATAAAAAAATGACCGTTGATAGGTGGCTGTCTTACATCTAAGAGAACGGTACGAGATAACGCTGTTATTTGAAGATGATCGAGCAAGCCTTGAGGGAATAGATCGTTTCGGCAAGATTTCCTTCAGAACAGTTATAATACCATTTATGGCCTTAAAAATAACATCAAGTCAAGATACTCATGCCAATACGAGACTGGTAACATATTTATAGACATCAGTCTGTCTTTGTAGGATTCTGCACACGTGAAGGGCAGCTAAGGATAAATTTTGAAGCTCGGCGTTGAACGCGCTCTGTCTTTCCGACTAGTTCAATTGACTGCGGTGATCAGACTTGGGTGGCGTAGCCTAATGCAGGACGCAGCCTCGTCCCTGGCGCTTTGATGTGCTTACTGGTTGCGTGACGCACGCGCGGGAATCGAGGTGCGTTGCTCACTACGGGACGCGGAAGCGCCTCGCAGAAAAAGGTGTCGATTTCTGAAATTTCTGTCGATTTCTGAACTTTCAAAGCCATTGTTCGATTTTCTTGATTATTTTGCTTTATTCACGACGGAATCATGGACGAGATCAGTGAATCTCTTCACAATATTTCTTTTGAAGGTAAATTTGTATGAATTTGTCTCATTATATATTTCAATATGATTTATTGTCTTGTTGACTGCTATAATTTTATAATTTTAATATTATGTGAACCAAATATTTATATGAAAATCATTCTGATCAACGTGTTCGTTGGGTTTTAAGGCTGCGTATGATTTCGGAGTCCTTTATACTGTACACTTATATTTATTTAGTATTAGTAAATTTTCCCTGACAAATTTTGAGTGATATCTTTGCCAGGTTCTTTGTAGCAGTTAATATTTATAATTACTGTGTAGTTGTATTATTAAATTGTCAATTCATGACAGACAAGTGAAAAAAAGGTTTTGCTAGGCCAAAGATATCAGATTCAAACCAATACCCATTGCAATCAAGCAATTACCATAAACATATAACCCCCAACACAGAGGAGGTTCGACAAGCAGGCCGCAAAGCATCATGGGTTTGAGTGCCTAATTCCACAATCGTCCACAAAATATATTGAGACTTTTTAAATCAATCCCCTCCCCCCTTATTTCAATGTTGAAACCTACTGTATTTATCCAAAACGAACATAAGGTGACACCAGCACCGTAACTGTGTCACTGGCAGTTGAAATTTAACATATGATGCTGGAATTAACCTATATTGTAGTGCCTAACAACATTGAAATCGGGGGAGGGGGTTTGTCTCACATATTTTGTGGACGATTGTCTGAAAATTGGGGAAAATCGAGCACAGGTTTTGGCTATTTACTGCATAATATTTTCTTTGGCAGCGCTTATGTTAATGTATACTAACAAAATTTGCATAACATATTTGGACTCCATAGTATACATGCCGATATACAAGTATTATATTATGCGATAGTTTGTCCAAGTTAAGTTAAAATCCATACCTTACCGGCATCTTATAACGTCCCTTCGCAAGCTTGCCTTCGATTCGAAAATGATATATCGAGAATGAAGAATGAATATCATGCAACCATCACAAATCAAGATTTTTCTATTTTAAAGTACTATGTAAATTCAAGAACAACGCCAACATGTAAACAACCTCGTTCTCAAACTAATAATTAGCCATTCGGATTAGTTTAATTAATGTATATGCATGGCTACCTGTTTTCGCTCCAAATTCAAATTTTAACAACGCGTTACCACGCGTTACCATACGCGTTACCATACGCGTTACCACTAATATCAAACAGTTATTATTGCTACAATAAAACTTCCGCAGTGAAAGTTCATTTCTAATGGTTCAAAACTACAAGATCGATATGCAAGCAATTACTAACAACCGTTACCATGAATTGCGCACGCGTTACCACGCGTTACCATCTTTTATTTTAAAAAAACTACTATATACATTTTATTAAAAACTTGACGGTAACGCGTGGTAACGCGTTGCTTTATCAACAAAATACCATAATGAATAGAATTACTAGGCGTTAACGCGTATGGTTATCTGAGATAACGCATGGAAATGCATTGTTTTAGTAACAGAAAAGCCAAATAGACAATTAGTACATGGTAACGCGTATGGTAACGCGTGGTAATGTGTTCTGTTCGTAATAGAAAAGCCATATTATAAAACTATTAGTACATGGTAACGCATGTGGCAATGCGTGGTAACACGTTGCTTTAGTATTTATATTTCAAAAGCCATATTAAACATTAGTTTATGGTAACTTGAATAAATTAAAACTTTGACCCCACCAAGTAATCAAAAATTAATTAAAAAATGCTTATAGTTTCATCAACATTCAATTATCCATTAATTAACTTGAGTAACTAAAGTATTATTAATCCATGTGAAGTTATAGGACTTTCTCTAAGAACTATGCACGGTTAATTCTCTAATTTAACGGACCGATCCAAGGATGTACTCGACAGCCCTCCCCCCCCCCACCCCACCCCATCCGGCTCAGAAGAAGACTTGATATGGTACCATTATACAACGTAGATATCTTTGTATGGGCCTAACAATACTATCCAAATTATACTGAATAGTAAGACGCTTCTATTACTTCACAAAAATTTCTTAAATACTTAATCCTTGCCCCGACACCTCTGGGAATTAAATTCTCCTCCCCCCCTCCCTCCCCCCGCCCACAGCTATTGTGCCGCACATAACATGATTTCAAATAACTTCGAGCTGCTGCCATCTAAGTTTTCTTAATTCCTAATATAATCGTCTACCAAACATATAGTGATATTTTTTTAATCTCTCCCCCCATTTCCTTTATATCTCCACCCCCCCCTGGTCAACTTGGCAGTACTGTACTATTCTACATGTGAACAATAACCCGAATAGTATCATGTACAGAGACTACTACACAAGCACACAAAGTGATTTCAAGTCTTATCAATTTTTAAGACAATCGTCCACAAAATATATCGAGACTTTTTAAATCAATCCCCTCCCCCCTTATTTCAATGTTGAAACCTACTGTATTTATCCAAAACGAACATAAGGTGACACCAGCACCGTAACTGTGTCACTGGCAGTTGAAATTTAACATATGATGCTGGAATTAAACTATATTGTAGTGCCTAACAACATTGAAATCGGGGGAGGGGGTTTGTCTCAAATATTTTGTGGACGATTGCAGGTGTGGCTTCAATGACTCTTTGACTGTCGTGGAGTGAACATCTCTCTGAGTAAACAAATATGGAAGCATTCGAAATACAAGATTGCCAGGCTGCAAAACTTTGTGAAAATAGCATG